CTTCTAGCCTTTAAAGTTACTGATGTGTCTGTATTTCTTCTAATGCTGTCTTTTCTGTTTTGTTTTGTTTTCCCAGGATTTTGGGGAGTACCAGGAAAGCTACTATTCAGTACAAACCACTGAGGGAGAGCAAATATCCCAGCTGATTGCAGGCTACATTGACATCATCCTCAAAAAGGTATTTCTGATTGATACTTTTATTAAAGGGCTCAGGTTAGCTGATACGGATACCTTAAGAAACAACAACCTTATCTGAAAGACGTGATTTACCATTTTAATCTTGGATACTAGGATTACTTGAGCATGACTCTATAGGTCCTACAAGAGTTTCTAACTCTGTGGCTGCAGCCCATGTTTGTATCATACTGCCAGGTACCGAGCAGGAGTGCATCACTTAGCTGCAAAGGGGCCTCGCTAACCCCTCAGCGTCGTCCTCTCCAGGTAGCTGTGTCGTGCCGTCCAGCCTCTATAGAAGCCCAGATTGGGAGGCTCAAGTGTTGTTTGTTTATTGTGTATTTTTTACCAAATTGATTGGGGTTTTATGCCATAGTGGTAATACAGATTTCTCAAGGCTTCAAGATAGAACCCACTCAAAGAACCAAGATCTACAAGAATATTAACATGTGTATCTCGATTTTAACTATGTACAATTAAGTCTAAGGAGCCCTGGTAGCACAAATGATTAAGTGCTCAGCTGCTAATGGACAGGTCGGTGGTTCGAACCTACCCAGCAGCTCCACAGGAGAGAGACCTGGGGATCTGCTTCTGTAAAGATTACAGCCAAGAAAACTCTAGGGGCACATGGAGCTGCTGTGAGTTGGAATCAGCTCAGTGGCACTTAACAACAACAACAGCAGCAATAACAAAATCCCCGTATTTTTATGCAAATAGCACTCACCTTCGGCGTTTGTTTGCCAGCCGTGCTCTCCCCACACAAGGTATTTTTGCGAGCTTGCTATGCTAATTTTTTTCCTACAGCAACTTGGGGAAGAAGATTGGCATGGCTGCACATTGAGGGTACCTTGCAGGGGGAGGGCACATCCAGCAAACAAACACAGAAGGCGCACATTATGAACGTAAAAATATTCTGTACGGACAGAGGAAGAAGGAGAGTCAGGAATAGGAAGAAGATATGGAATGTGTGGCTGATTGCCTCCATGAACAACTGCCTCCTTTGCCATGAGACCAGAAGAACTGGATGGTGCCTGGCTACCATGAATGAACATTT